AGGGGTTTCGCGGAATTTCTGCATCGGGGGAAAGTGCGGTGCACTTCATGTCTATCTGGTAAAACTGTAAAGCCGGAGTCCTAAGATGGCTAATGCCCCTCAAACATAACAAAACAAAACATATGTATTTTACCAAAAGTTCCTCTCAGACTCAACGTCTTACCTTCTGAATAACAATACTGTCGAACTCACCCCTACATATAAGTACCCGGGTGCCCACTTTCAGTCTGATTTATCCAGGCACTACCACATCGATCTGAATATGCTTCTGCCATATGGGATCCTGAACAAACCTACATTATAATTTATAAGTAACATCGAGCCCCTGCAGAACCGTGCTGCTCGTTTCATTTGTTCTGACTACTCCCGCTTTTCTAGTGTCGTCTGCATAAAAAAATCAAGCTGAGTTGCAAGACCTATCACGCCGCCGTAAACAAGCCCGCCTGTCTATTTCACAACCTCTATCACCATGCATCGCTTCACGACGATTTTTTTTAAACACCCCCCATTATCTTTCCACGTCGCGATCATTCATTCAAAGTAACGTGCATCACATGTCACTAATCTAGTTACGCACGATCATTCATACCACGGATCATAATCGACTGGAACAATCTACCGGCTCACAATATAACTTCCAAGAACTCGTGCGCAGTTATAGTAATACTTAGGATTCTTTTTTATTCCTTGTTCTCATATTGTCTTTGTATACTTTTTGTGTTTTTTCTGTGTACTATAATATGTCTGATTGCCCCCCCCCCCCCCCCCCCCCCCCATGTAATACCCTCGTACGGAGGGCCTTTAGGGATATTTTGAATAAATGAATAATAAATCATACAAAAAAGAAAAAAAACTTTTAGCCTTTCCACTTTGGTGAAGAAGGAAGATCAGCGAAGCTGTACTATGGTGAAAATGAGGTAATGGCCGGCCGCAAGTCGGCAAACCAGAGTTGAAAGGCTTGAAAGGCTGCGCCATCTATGAGCGACGGAGGCAAGCGGACAACCGGCAAACACAACACCCCGGACAGCTACCGCCATCTATGAGCGACGGCGGCAACCAGAGTTTTGTGTCGACATTTCTTTGCGGGGGACACGATCCTGGGGAAACTATCGCCCTGAACAGCTCCGCTATAAAAAAAAAAAAAAAAAAACACAAAAAACACGGTTTTTTCTGCAGGCACGATGACAAATTTATCGGCGGACACGCCTCAGATTCTGTACGAGGGTGCCTTGAATAAACTCAAACTCAAGCATTTTCGAAGTATGTTTGCCTCATACGTACGCATGTTTCGACCATTTCTGCAGACAGTTGTAGTGTGACCAGTGTGACAGGGGCTGTGTTACAAATCTTAACCAAATGGATCCGAGTTACTCCGACGGATCGTATCACGTGACAGCACAGATTGAAAAACGCTGGACGCGGGTAGGTTTTAGAACGCCAAGTGTACAAAACCTTTACCCCGGAGTAAGATCGAGTAAATTTTGAAACACGGCCAGGAACGCCGCACAAGGAAGAAGCACGTCTGCAGACCGTATTTTGTATGACGTATGAGTTTTAGGCACCGTTACTAAAACACTCAGTTGGGAAGCTCACCTTTGAAACCTAGGCCGCTGGCGTCCACCGAGACCGAGCTAGATACGATAACAGCGCCACCCTTTAGCGACGAGTTGAAACATGAAAGTTGCCTTATATGGCTACTGCTCGAGTCTTTGCATGTTCCCAGAGTACCGAAGCCGAGTCTGACCGAGTGTTAGGCTGGAGGTGCCAAGATGGCGGCTCAATTTTTTTTTTCTTTGCGGTGGTCACCTTGAGCTTTCAGAAAGCATTTTGTTTAGTAAAACCAAACGCAAAAAACTCTTTTTGGAGGAACTTTTATTGGAGATTAGTACAAAAAAACAGATGCGGGATGTTTTCTAAGATCTTTAGTTTACAAAGTTTTGCGGCCCAATTAATATTGTTTTTATACAACCATGTCTCACCGGTGATTTCAGGTAACGCGTACCGACAATGGGCGCGTCCTAATTTCGGAAGTAATTCGCGGCGCGTCCATTTGGGGCTCGTGGGTCGGCATCCCTGAAACCCCTTCCACCGTATATATTTCGGCTCCGAAATTGCCGATTAAAGTGAAAATAGAACAGTCACAGCAGACGCTATCGAATGCGATACTCCCGAACCAATACAAAACAGCCGTGCAGTTCCCCGAACGGCCGCTGCGGGAAAAATAGTGGCGTTGCGAGCGCCATTAGCTTGGTTCTCGAGTACGAACCGGTGCCACTTTTTCAAAGCAGGCTCTATGGCAGTTTCCGAACGAAGTGGTTCTAGTAGCATTAGTTTTAGGAAACAGTTTTTGCAGATCCGATAAAGTCCGATGAGCCCTCCGGTACGCACTGCGCATGCGCTGCCATAGAAGACTCACATATGCGCAGTTCGTATACCGGAAAGCACATCGTATCGTATCGGATGTGCAAAAACGGTTTCCTAAAACACCCTAGTATATAGGGTGTTTTTCTTTAAGCTTTTTTTTATTTGTTTAGAAAAAGGCGGGAAAGCTACACTTCTGCGGTTTGTGCAGGTGAGTTATACGACCAGGGGGACATTATGTGGGTTGCTAATCTTTGTGATAAGTAGGCTAATTAGTTAAAATTCGTTAATTAAATTTTTAATTTGTGAAAATAGACATATGGTTTCAATTTAGAAGCTTACTGAGCGTCATCGAAACCCACTAAATCAACTCTTTTCAGAACCACTCTGGAAGCTCGTGGGAAACTCGGGGGCACACCAAAGTTACCACTCGTGCAGCAGGCGCTAAGCTAGCAGTGGCAAAACGCGGAGGATTAGATTATCATCGCGTTCCGCCGCTGCTAGCTTTGCGCCTGCTGCTCGAGTGGTAATTCTTTGATGCCAGCTTCAAAGAACGAGCTTCGAGTCGTTCTAGAAAAAGTTGATTCAGTGGTTTTCGATGAAGCTCAGTAAGTGTCTAATTGGAACCATATGTCTATTTTCACTGAATACAAAGTTTATTAACAGATTTTACTTAATTATTCGACTGAGCGTTACGATTCGCCCCCTATACTCTGTCCCCCTGGCCGTATAACTCACCTGCACAAACTGCATAAGTTTAACTTTCACTGCTTTTCTTAAGCAAATCTGTAAAGCTTAAAATAAAACACCCTGTATAGCAGAGTGCCCGCGGTTTTAAGACTGGGAAAGCGCAACGGAAACACCATGCTCCACGTCGCGTAAAAGAGGAAAGCCACCGACTTACCAAGACCGCCAGGACGTCGTGTACCAGACCAGGCCACATTCGCCACAAAAACGCGAAAACTACCGGAACGCGCTCGGAAACGAGCGTCGTCGGCTTTCTCTCACTCATGTCTCTGGCAGGCGCCTGCTCCATGTCAGGACAAAGAGGGAAGCTACCGACTTTACCGGGACGTTCAGGTTTACCAGGACACATCCGCCATCAATGCGACAAGTGCCGGGACACGCGCTCGGAAGCGAGTGTCGCCGCCGCCTTCGACTTTGTCTCGGAAGGGCGCAAAAGTCTGCGAGAGAAAGCCGGCAACTGACCCCGGATGGCCTCTTCGCTGGGCGGAAAAAGATTCATCGGCGCAGTCATCCTCTTCGAGGTGCCAGGAAGAAGAGACGCGCACTTTCGCGTCCCAGAAAGCCGGCGTTTCGTGGCTTGCGTTTGACCCGACTATACCTTCACCAACTCGGCAAAAAATTTTCTACGTCGCTTTGTTTTGTTGTTTTTTTTTCTTTTTGCAATCCGATGTAGCGCGTCACGACTTCGCGCAGGCTTCGTGCGTCCAATGTCATGGCCGTTCGTGGTGCTGTCGTCTTACTCTGTCCGCGTTTCTGGGCGCGTATAAGGGTCTCCCTCGCGGACGCACGAGGAGTCAGTCTCCGTTGTTACGGGCTCTAGTGTGTATCATGGAAGCGGTACGTCCTCCAGCCGTGTCTTGGCCACGACGTGGTAGCGGGGGTGGTGTGTGATGGATCGCCGGCGACCGCTCTTGGACTGTGTCTGCCTTGTGGATACGAAACGTGTTACTACCGAGACGTCAGGGTACTCGTGGACCGAAACTGCGGTCACTTGGGGTTGGAGAGTGCAAGGAAACGAATCGCGACTGCATCCGGGCGTGAACAGTTTGCTCAAGGACCAACTGTTGCCATTGTCTTGCCGAGGGGGGCGGTATATATGCCGGCAGCTCAGTAGGAAGCGATATGCAAGCCATATTTAGCTACACACACCTTTCTTATGTTATCTGCTGACAGATTAAACATGATGAAGCGGTTAGTTCCGTTCCTCGAGAGGAACTGAATTAAATATGAAAATATGGCTCCAGACCCGGCGTTAGCATCTCGTTGTTTGGGAGAATTTAACACGCACCTTAAATACCAGTACCTGAGGTTGAGGACAATGAACCTGAGAAAGACGACATCCTTAACATGTTAATGACCGCTGGCGTATTCGTAGACGCATTACCGCTCGCCATAGTGCTGGCTATTTCTTCTCTGTACGTAATCGAATTTGCCGCTGTGACAAGGACTTTTTGTAGATAGTTTTCGTCGACCCGCAGCACTCTCCGCAATCCTCTATGAGTTATGGAACTCTGCAGAGATGGCCGCTTTTTTGCGGGGAGTGTAACGGAGGGGGAAAAACGGTATTCGATAATTCCCAGGTAAGACGGTATGTTCGCGTTGCCTGGGGGCGTACGACAAGGGGGATTTGTGGCGTCATGCGTGTATCTATCAAATGCAACATTATCTCGCAGACTTGTGACGCTCCTGTGAGGCTCCCGGCATCCAAAGACGCTTGTCTTGTAGATGCTTCCGGCGCGTGATATGTGCTGAAATGCTGTTTAGAGCCGTTTCCCGGTATAGAAAAGAACCCACGACGTAGAGCCACAATACTCCGAAAGATTTCGCGGCTACAGGTACACGCTGAAGTATGCACCAGTTGAAACGGATAGCTCTCCTTACTGTATTGGTGCATGCTGAAGCAAGGACACTATACCATCACTAGTACGCCTTTTGTAACTCTTGGGAGTGTTGGGAGTATGCTGAGCAACAACGAGGGTATCCTGTGCCCAATCTGCGCATCAAACCTGCGTTTTTTTTTTTTTTATCCAGTACGCTGTGACACCGCTCCTGCTACTGTGCCTGCTCTACCCTGTCCACTCTTGGCACGGCGGCGGCGGTGGTGGCGGCGGCGGAGATGTCATGATGTACGACTCCTGGCAGGGTTCCTCTTCCTCGGACTACGACCAGTACGACGACGGTGGAGCTGGAGGTGGAGGTGGCGGCGGCGGAGGCGGCGGTGGTTTCCCTATCGACATGCTCGGTGCTGACATTGGCGTCGGCAACATCATCGACGTGGTCGAATCCATCGGCGTGAACGAAGCCACGGGAGTTGACACAACGATCGGCGGAAGCAGCGGGTCCGACGTGACCATCGAAGGCGGTAATGGGGGCAAAGAAGTGATGGTCGATAAACCTCCTACACCGGCCAAGCCAATTTCGATTTCTCCACCGCCGGCCCTGCCGGAACCGCCGGCACCACCGTCGCCTCCACCGACTCGACCTGTGGGTTACGGCGGTAAAAGGCCACCGCCCAAGAAGACCAGTTCATACGGCGGACCCGGAGTGAACATTGTCGGCGACGACGAAGTGTCGGGCGTCGTTGATCCCCGGGGATCGCAGTCGACAGTAGGAGTGGCAAGTTTCGGGGGAGAGGTATCGGACGTCGAAGACCTGACTCTTGTCACCAAGGCTATCGAAGAAACCGCTGGGAAATCACCCGGAGACATCTACGAAGATGCCGACTTCCCAGACCCGGCGCCATCCTATGGCGGATCCTCGAGAGGAGGCGGAGACATCATCAAGGGAGCCGAAGACATCTACCCGGATCCAATCTATGGGAGAGCAGCGGCCGTGGCTCAGACACACGCGAGCATCAAGGCTAAGCCTTCGAGGTTAACGCCCAGTGCGGGTAGACTGAGGATCCGCACTTTCCCTCTCGATAAAAAGTCCCTGTCTCTCGCAGTCCGAGATCCACTGCGCGCCATCACCGAGGTGGAAGGCGGCAGTCGGCCTCGTCAGCGGCACGGTAACAGCGCGGTAGCAGTCCAGAAGGTCAAGTCTTCAAATCAGGTAGGGTCCCACACTTTTGCCGAACACCGTGTTAGGTACAGACCCATCTGAATGCTAATTCCACTTAATAAGCTTCCTCTTTCGATGTCTTTGAGCTGTTCGAGTTTTATCCGGCTATCGGAAAGTGGCCAAGGGACGGCCTGGTAGGATTTCGTTCGACGAGGAAGGAGAGGCGAAGGTCAAACAGCTTTTCGTTCCCGTGTTTCGGCAGAACGAACTGCAGACAGGCGCATCATCAACTTTCTCGTGTGGCGCTTAGAGAAAGTACTCACTGGCGGCCATCGCTGTGTGCTCGACTGCTAAGCGCGTGCTGGCGGCGGGCTTCCACAGTTCTTTTCCAACGTGCATTCCGCACCACCGAGACTGCCGGGCTTAGCAGCCTGTTAATGGGAGCTCGTTCTGAGCATGCGCTCTAATCATCGCCCTCAAATATGGCGTCCAGCGAATACCCTCTGTATAGTCACTGACGCGATGGGAACGTCAGGGTTGGCTTTAGGGTGCGTGGCCTCCAAAAGCGCGCGCTCGAGGCCTTCTGCCGTGCATTGGCTGCGAGCGCATGCTTCAGGCATATGACGTGGTGTTCGCCCTATATATATATCTGCCTCGGACAGTGACTGCAGATTTTCTTTGGTGTGATTTCTTGGTCAGGGTGGAAGATAAAAATGAATATGATTTTTTTTTTTATCTTCGTGATTTAAATCGTGTTTTTAATCGGACCAGTTTTACTATGCTGATTTAAATAAAACCTTTCCCGCAAAAACAGAATACAGTATATATATATATATATATATATATATATATATATATATACGTCGAAGAATAAATTGTCCGTTGTTGCTATTTTCACTAAGGGTTTTTTCCTCTCAGTTATATACCCACGCTTTCGGCCTCCCGCCACCCTGCCCGTTATATATATATATATATATATATATATATATATACGTGGAACGCAAAAAAAAGAAACACCAAAGCTCTATAGAAGTAATGTCCTAATGCAATCAAGTCAGATCTTGAAATAAAAATAAAATAAAGATTTTGAACTAACTAAAAAGAATCAAGTTGTTTCTGTTCTAGTGTAAAAGGGATTACAGAAATAAAAAAAAAAGTTGTTAATTAAACTTTACCTTACATTTACAGTAATTATTTATTCCGCATTTTTATCAGTGATCGAACGAGGTGATCAATCAACCTGCCACGTTGAAAAAATAGATCAAGTGGTAAAGATTGCTATGTTCTAGCTAGGGACCTAAATCAACTTAATCTGATATGAATAAAAAAAAAAGGTAAGACTTAAATAAAAGACATCTGATTATTTTAATCATCATTACTTTATACTCTGATATTAGTGCAATGTGGTCGCGGCTTAACCCTTTCCGTCTCGCTCAATTTCAGGGTTCCAAGAACTCAGCCGAGTGGAAGACGGTGGGCACGTTCCCGTCTCAAGCAGCGGCACAGCCCAAGGGTGCCGTCGGCGTCTCTGGACGCTGGCCTTCCACCGTGGACAACCGGGCCAAGGGAGATTTTATGGACGTGACGCCGGTGGTCCTCCACTTGTCCCTCGGCGGTGCTCCGGCCCTCAGGAACGGGGAGAGCCAGGGCAGGAGACCCAAGTGGATCCGATCCATCATGCTGATCCCGACCAAGGCCATGGAGATGGCCATGCCCATGCCGATGCCTGGAAGACTCAGGATCCACACGGGGAAACGGACGGTGAACCCCTGATTTGTCAAGCAGTCTTCATCGTAACGTCGTGCACGCGCATCAAGACCTTCGAACAATCTGGTCGTTGCAAGGAAAGTGCGAGAACGCTTGTTCCGGATTGCGTTCAAGAGGATCCCTCAAGTTTCCATTAGCGTTCCTCTAAGACATCGTTTGTTTTCTTTATGAGCCTTTCTGCTTCCATCGGTCTTTGAGTGTCCTAATAGTGTTGGATATTAGATTACTTTTTTTCTCAGTTCATTTTGTTGGTTTTGTTGGAAATAACTCGGAATAGAATGCAAAGAAGAGGTGTTAAGCTCGTATCTTTCACATCGTTCAACGAATCACCGCAGTGTTTTGCCAGTTTACTCGCCTTTCCTTGTGTCTTCCTCTCAGTTTCTAATGCCTTGCTCTGTCTCAATTTTATGTGCTGGTACTTAGCGGTTGGCCAGCACAAAGTCATTTTGCTTGTAAAACGCTGTGAGGTGAATAGAAATAAAGGGTGCTGCATGCTTGTTCTGAAATCGCGCTTGCAGCATATGGCACGTTTTTTCTTTCGTGATTTATTTATACTCTCGTGGCACTGAATTCCATTTCCATTTCCATTAAACGACATGAAACTTAGTTTCCAAAGAGGGGAAAGGGGGGAGGGGGGTCTTTACTCGTTATAAACTCATAGTACATATGATCACGGTGCTGAAGCAGATTTCCTGTATTATCTGCACGCAGTTGTCGTTTCGCGGCGCATATGACAATCGTAAACGACGCGATTGTTTAGGGATATAGCCGGTTACAAATTAAGGTAGCGGCAAATGCCCCTCAAAGGGAATCATATATCCCTCCGCCACCTCCGCATCCAATAGCGTCCCATCGTTTCCGTGACGTCGTGACCAACGCGCGAGAAGGGTTTTGCCTTTCTGTACATATTTGCTTTAGCTTTCGACTTTGACTTAGCATTGTGGAAGCCACGAGAGGGAGATTAGAGTTTTCCCCCTCCTATGAAAACAAATACGACTTTCGGGGATTAGCTTCCCCCCCGATGGATACAAAGGCTGCTTTCAGGGGCTCGGTTCCCCCTCCAGTTAATACAAAGGTCGCTTTCTTAAAAAGTGGGATCGGAGACAAGTTTGAATCCATTGAAGCGGAACAAGGAGCGTTTCCAGTGAACTCTTCTTTCGACTGCGAAGAGATTTGAAACGGGCGCATCACGCTTGTGGGAGGAGCTTCTCCTACCTTCTTGACTTGTAACCGACTATAGTAATTGTAATCGGCTTGTGAAAACATGCGGGAATGCGAGTGTAAAACTACAATAAAAAAAAAAAAAAAAAACGACGAAGGAAAGAAACTTAAGGGCGCTAAGAACTTACCGACAGCAGGTGAAGTTTATTTTTGAGCACAAACAATTGAATGAGCCAGCTCAAGAGGTGCCAACGTTTCTCTATCATCGCACAAATCAAATCGAACCACATCGAATTGTTTTGCCTTTGTGCATACACATATGACAAAAAAACAAAGGGGGGGGGGGGGGGGGGGGGGCTGCAAGTTTGCAACTTGACGAGTTTCTGCACCCAGAAACTCGGAGCAAAGTTGTACTGACACAAACACAAGAGGAAAAAAAATAAGATTAACTTATTTGGCATGCAGCAGGAAGTAACCAGTACGTTACTATAACACCGAAGTTAATTAAATAAAAAAAGTCAGCCTGCAGATGCGGCGTGTCTCTTTCTTTGCATGACGGTCATGTCGCACTTGTCACACACCCCTGGCACATCCCACCATCGCACACAAGCTGTCTGCAGCCGTGTTCGAAGCATGTACGCAGCAAACATGCTTGGAACATGCTTTAGGCGCAAATAATTCTGTTATCATGTGTCTGCCGCGATGGTGGGATGTGCCAGGGATGCCAATGAGAAATGGGTACAAGGATACTGTTACCCTGCGATCGGGCCTTGCAGGCACTTCATTTGCATACTCGAGTCCACGGTATAGGGACACCCCGCACCTCGTACTCCCGGCATGACGTAGGACGGACCACAGTTCCGGCCGCACTGGGGTTCCTCCGGGTCGTACGTGACGTCATACGACGAAGATGCCCTTCTCTGGTGAGTCTCCCTTCTCTAAGAGGCGAGCAGGGCGGTAACGAGCAGAACCGACTTTAAAGCGAGGAAGTAATTCTAACCCCCCCGAAGATAAAAGCAGTTGCCTTAACGCTCCAAGGGGCTCCCTCCGCAAGAAGGCGCCGATTCTCTTTCTTTTCGGCGCCGTGCCTCGTTGAGTGCTTGAGCGCTGAAGGAGAACCAGGAACGAAGTCATTGTACTGCGGCAGCAGATCTTCAGAGGGGCCCAGCGTTCTGCGTCGTTGGGGAGGCTCGTCCGGTCCATGTCCTCTTTAATAAGCTGCTCGCGGCCCCTGATTGCGCGGTGGCAGATGGCTGTAATCTCGATCGGACGACCGCCACGTCTCGGGGTCAAGGTGGAAGATGAGGACGGGGCGTCTGAAAAGAAAGATTTACTTTTATAGTCTCCGCCATGTAAGAGGGAGTGTACACTAGATTTCTTCATGTTGACAAAGACCGGAGAACACAAAATGTGTTCGGCTACCATACGTATGAAGCGTGTGGTGGCGCTAGCCCAGCGCACATCAGCCTTAAGACGGGGTCACACTGCTCATGGACATGCACCATACAAAATACAGTCTGCAAACATGAGTCATGGCAATATCCGTGGATCGAATGCCGTGTGCCAAGTTTTCTTCTTGAACTCATTGCCGTGCGGCATTCGAAGCCCGGATCTCGCGGTTACTCACGATCGAATCTGTATGCAGACTGTCTTTTGTATGATGAATAAGCAGTGCGACTTCGGCTTTACGGGAGCCATCCGGCGGAAAAGTGTTTCGGGGCTTTTTTTTTTTGTATTTTTAAGCTGGTGAGAACACTTCTAACTTCCTTTCACCGCAAGTTTTAGCGAATTAAGCAGAATATACAAGAGGGAGCACCACACTTTGAGAGTGCCAAGCCATGCCTGAGCGATCGTACCTGAAAAAAAAAAAAAAAGACAGTGAGTCTAGATTTCTGAGGCATCGTGAATTCGGCGTCAAAATACGAACACTGCTTCTTACCTAGTTATTTATAAGTTATTCAAACTCAAACGTGTGCATTCAATCGCATTCATAGTAATGATGAACAGTTTTTTCTTTTACTATCCTGGTTCCATGAAACATACAATCGCATGAATTCCCTTTATGTATGTAGAAACCGTGTAAGTATACTCCAGTAAGGGACCATATAAGTGTTGTTTACATGAAATCCTTATTCAAGACCACCGTTATCCCGTTATCAGTCATCATAGACTGGTCTGGAAGGCCAGATTATGATGACTATATAAGATGACTGATTGAGGCCATGGGTGCTCGAGGACGGAGGTTTCCAGTGAGACCCAAGGCTTGTCGTTTCCCAGTTGAGTCTATAACTAAATCTGCATGTGTGTTTGCGTGTGTTTTTTTACTCAAGCTATTTTATAAGTTTCTAAGCAACAAGGGGCACGCTGACTTTGTAGTTAGACTCGTTTGCAGCAGCAGCAATATTTTTAGCCCAAATCTAAGACATGTATTTCCTACAGACGAGGCCATCGTGTGCTGCGCGTGTAGCTAAATTCCCAGTATGTTCCTTGGGGATTGAGAATTTCGCATATGGTCCATATTAAATTCATGACAGCTTTATTTTCTAGGAAATGGCACTCGAAGACAATAGACGCTATTTAAAGCGCTCGGTGGATTTTATAAACAAGCCGAAAATGGCGGAGCGTCGCCGCCAACCTAGTGTGTCCGGCGGCGCGGCGCCGGCATCTGCAGTAGACCAATAGGAGCGTGCTTGCAAACGACGGCGCGTCACCGGCAGCCACAGCAGACCAATAGGAGCGTGCGCGTCTTGATGTGGGATGCACCATGAGCCAAAAATGGCTACGCGTCGCTGGCATCCAATAAGAGCGCCCGGTGCAGTGCAAGTTACCCAAATCCGGCTGTGTTTGGCCACCCTCTCCGAGCATGTATTGGACACGAGGGCTACGTCAGCGTAGGGCAAGGACTCGTATCCAATCAGACGCTTCGTGCCCAAGCAATGGCGGCCACTAATGTTGCTTGACGGAGTTTTTGACAAGTGTGCCCGTAGGTATTGCCGAATTCCGATATCACGTGGTTAACCGAACGTTTAAACAGCGCAACTGCTATCTGAAGCAAAAATCGGGTTGATTTTAAGTCGTCAGGAACGTCACAGCATGAATGTCATCGAAGCTTTCTGACCTGACTCGCGGTATCTTTTTTGCGGGTCATCCCGAGTAGAGTCATATTTTCAGCCAAATAAGCACTTAGGCTGTTTCGTGTGAGCCGTATATGGCACAATTCTCGCAAAAAGAGAGCGACTGCGTTATCTTATCTCGACTCATTATAGACTGAAACTGCGTGTGTCCCTTCGCAATTTATTTTTACGACAATGGTGGGCACGGGGAGATGACTCTGGACGACTCGTACGATTCGGCACCGCGCGCCCCGTAGCGACGTGGCCCAAAAAGCCGCATTTGACAACTTTGAATCTTAAACAAAATATTTTAAGAAAGCCTATTCACCGCGGCAGTCGCACAGTCCACATCTAAACGAGGACTGTGAGGACCTGGAACCATGGTCTAGAAGAAAGAAAAAAAAAATGGCCGAGCGGAGTTGCCCGTTTTGTAACAAACGCCAGCCACGGTCATCTGCGAACAAAAGTTTCTCAGGAAGATCTCGAGAGAACCTCAATTCGAAGACCGACGCCGTAGACCGCCGTGAAAGACTGTCCGCGAAGAAGAATAAAAATAAAACGGGATGAATATGAGAAGCGCACGAATTTCTCTCTGCAATGAAGCGGGCGCGGAGCGCCTAGAGGAGTAGTGGGGCGTCCAGGTCAGGACGCGTTGCAGGGCACCGCAGCGCTGGAACCAAGCTGGACAGTTGTCGCCGCTCGGCCGCCGCTCGGCGAAGGTTCTTAAATAGACTTCACGCCGAGTCGTGAGCGTGTACGAGGGTCATTCTCCTAGCGTGAGGTCATGGGAATAATGACGAGGGCTTGACCGCGAGCGGCAGCTGCAGCCTGCCTGCCTTAAACCGTCTTCGTCGTAGAAGGGTCAGCGATGGTCGCAGGAGAAACTCTAAGAAAGTAATAAATAAATACACAAATAAGAAGGACAAGAGAAACACACACACATAAGAAAGAGGGGGGCCCACATTTTGGTGCTCAGTCCATTTTAGAACGACCGGGAAGACCTCATTTTGACTTGATCTCTCTTCGTTTTGTTTTTTTCTCTTTCTTTAGATACGGACAGACATACGCGGATGCTTCTTGACGAATGCAAGATCGGTCTTGTAGGTGCAAAGAAGCGGTTCGACATGTTCTGCGGTTATCGCGTATGCAAAGTTCCTTTAAGAAACGTGTTCTTGGCACTTTGCATTCGAGCCTACCTTATTTATTTTTTTGTTCCACCCTGTTTACGTCGTTTAGGAGTGTTCTTATCGCCAAACAG